TATTTAAAAAAATTTCCAAATCAATTGCCTTCAAATTTATAAAGTTACATGCATTTTCTCAAAACTTTTTGTACAACCCACGTAATAGCAGAAGTATCAAAAACAGCATATAAATTAGAAATTACCAGCAAATTTAAAAATTCATCCAGTGTTTCCTTAAACCATATAAAGAATCTGATGATGTATGCTTTTCTGTAACATTCAATTCTTTAAATCAAAAAAAATATTTGATGTAAATATTACTTGCATCATGAGCATTGAGCCATATCCTGGATACGATGGTGAATATTGGACAGCAATTTAAAAGAAAAAAAAAATAAGCTCTTTTTTTCTAACTGTCATATTATTCCAGCTTTAAACTCATACTTGAAGGAGAATACAGTATAGTCCATACTGAGTTTTTAATCTTCACAAAGACATTATCATTTCCTCACTCCCTTTTTTAGACGATTGGAGTCTTCTTGATCTCGTAGATTTTTGTAGGAAGCAAAAGAACTGAATTCCAACGATTTAATAGCTTTAGAAGAAAAGGTGATGTACTTGTATATTTATTTGTAATAGGGGGCTCCAGTCTATTCTTGTCTGGACTAGGAGTATTGGCTCTCATTCCAGCCTGAGTGATGGTGCTGGCAGCTTCAGTCTATTCTTGTCTGGACTAGGAGTATCAGCTCTTATCATGGCCTCACCATTGCGATTTACTTTTTTTTTTTTTTAATGGTTAAACCTTTCACTTGTATTATAAAAACTAGACACTAATTTTTCTTCATATATCTATGGTAAAAAAACAACGCGGAAACAAAAATTTACAGCCTTATTGGGAAGAAATGATTTATGAGCAGGGAAAGGTTTTATTATCATTTATTTTATGAAATTGTCATACAAATAATAATGGATCTCTTCATCATTGATTTCAAACATGAACAACACTGATCTTGTAACAGATGGCAGTAAAATGAGTACATCTCATTGGTAGTACTAATCTATATCATGAAGCTGCAGAGAACAATGCCCAAGAAATTATATCTGAAGGCTTTTCCAATGTTTTTGTCAAGCATCCTCTTGAGAATGATTCTATAAATAAACTCAAAAGAAAATCTCAAAAACAAGCCCCACTTGCTAAGAAAACACACATCTGAAATGGAAGTTTTTGAATGATGAAAAAGCCATCGCTAATGTATGTGGCTGCAAGCTTTCTAACTCCATATCTGATTATTTAAACTGCCAAAAATAACTAGAATTTATGTATACTGTACAGGAATGGATTATTGATAATCACAGTATAACAAAATCGTTTTTAGACTTTATGAATATGGCCATCTCTTTGGCTAATGAAGGTAAATAGCATATGCTGCTCACACATCAGGAATATTGTTAATTATTTTTTTAACTTTCTTTTGATGTAGACACTTCACAGAAATAGTAAAATTGCTAATATGATTGAAAAATTTTTTGTCAAATATAAGATCACTAAATTCAATTTTTTATGGAAGAGAATCCCATATGAACAAGACTTGATATCCCGCCATCCATTAGAAAGCAAGCTTTTGGCCAGATGAAAATTTTATATCAAAAAAATAATCTAAATAAAATTATTAAAGGCTTCAGAGAAAATGATAAAGACACTCAATAGAACAGTCATATTATAAACTTAAAGTGAAATTAGATGATCCTGGTAAAAAATTGTTAAGAAAATGCCAGAATGTGTGGAAACATCTGTAGGTTAATTTCTTCACTTGTATTTGTTGTTAGTGATCTAAGCAATTCCCAAATTTAAATATATTAAAACTCAATAGTTGTGAGAATTGGAAGACTTCATTTGATGACAATCGAACAGTAGAAGATACTTGTGTTCATGAATTATTGCATCCACTTTTAAAGCCATTCTTCACTATTGAGCAAGGACATGATATTAACTGGTAAAAATATTAATGGTCAATTTATGTTGAGTTGGACATTTAAAATTCATTATTTTAATGACACCTGTTTATTTTACTACAGGGCTAACAAAGATGTCCATGTCAAGTGCTGAACAAAAATGTAATGAAGAAGGTGATGGTCATAAGCTTGATTTCATGATCTCTGTAGACATAAATGGTGATGCTGATAAATTTGAAACATTATATGGATTATTTAAGTCTCCAATAAAGCTAATACCTATTTAGTGAGCGAATGTAGATTTAATAAATTTTATGAAAGATTCCCTTAATAAAATATATACTAAATATATTACTGAACTTGACATGGCAGTTTTAGTATACATTGTTTTGGTATGGTATTTTTAACCTTAACATTCTTTTTTTTTATGGATGTGTTTATCTGATATTTCTGAAAATTTTTTTACTGGCAGGCCACGATTTAAGGATATACGGAATGGATTTAACTTATGATGGTTTTTACAGAATGTACATGTTAGGTGAATTTGAGTTGCCAAGATCCAATATTAGTTGTTCATTAGTTGAATATGCATTGTGTGAAATTGAAAATCTAAGGATAGATATTATTATGTCAAAATGGCTTTTTTAAAGTAAATATTAATTAACAATTACAGTTATTTGTTGAAGACTATATAAGCAGAATACTGCCTTATTTATCAACAACTGATAATTATCATACATCAACAAAGAAACAATGCATGACTCGATCAACTATTCCTACACAAAAAAGAAGATTTTTTTTCATTTCAGTAATACCACAAGTACTTTTATAAGATTTATAAATTTTTTGTAATTACCAGGTTATGTTACAATAATTATTGGAATTATGGAATTATATACAAAAACCAAGATGTTATTTATATACAATATATGTATATTTAAATAATTTGCTTTTCTCCAAGATAATGTGATTTTATCATTAATAGAATAAAAAAACAGCATTTATGCTTTAATTTGAGGCATCTGAAAATTTTCGACAATTGAATTTTATTTAACTAAGGTAGATAGATGTGTATGTGGATATATGTATATTATATTGATATAGTTGTATTTATTGTATTAATTTTGTTGCTGTTGTTACTACTATAGACATCCAAATATTCTTTGTTTATATGGACGTTTCTGTGAAGAAAACCATGCATTTCTGATTCTTGAATATGGAGCTATGGAGAAATTTATAAACATCTTAGAAAAGTGTACCAGATTTACCAAAAAGTGTGTGTCAAGGGTTTGTAATTCCTCCTATTACTGTATTAGTTGTGAACAAAAGATACTAATTCAATCATCAATATGTTATTGTGAATTAATAGTATATCACTCAGGTGGCACATGCTTTAATTTATCTTCACCATAAAAAAATAATCCATCGAGATATTAAGCCTGAAAACCTTTATTGGGTCCAAACAATGATCTTAAAATAGCTGACTTTGGTTGGTCAGTACATGCTCCTGGTCAAAGGTAGAAGATGGATTTAATTATAATTATTGTTATAAAAATGTCTAATTATTTATTGTCAATTATAATAATATATCTATCACTATAAAAAAATATATAATAAGGCGTAGAACATTTTGTGGCATGTTGTATTATCTTCACCAGAGATGGTTGATGATCTAATTCATGGTTCAAAGGCTGACTTGTGGAATCTCGGAGTTTTATGTTATGAACTGTTGTTTGGTACAGTTCCATTTTCAGGACCAGGTGGTTGCAAAGGTACACACAAAAGAATAGTGAGAGTGGAATATTCAATGCATGATCATATATCAGAAGATGCCAAACATTTTATTAAATTGGTAACTTCTATCTTTACTGTCATACTAATTATTTTCAATATTTACAAAATAAACCATCTCCTCTCTAAATATTTTTATTACCTCTAAAAAAAAAAATAGCTACTTCAAAAAAAATCCTGATCAACGATTATCCTTGGAAGAAGTTTTGAAACATCCTTGGATTTTAAAGCAATTAATAATTATAATAATTATAACCATACCTATTATTATTTAATATAAGAAGGAAAGAAAGTAGAAATAGAAAATAAAGAAAAAAACTTCATCAGATTTCTGTTCATAATAAATCTTCATAGAAAAAGATTCTTCTTTCAGTGCTCTATTTTCATTCTTTTGAGAAGAAAAGTAAAGCAATAATCCTCAATAATTGTGCATTAAATATAATCATCATTTGAAGTATATAATTTTTTTAAAAAAAAGAATAAATCATTAAATTTTATTTTTATTTCAATATTTAATTAAACCAATCCGATTGCAAACTATATATAAATAAAATCTTTAAGGAATTATTAATATTATTATAATCCTTTCAATTTTTTAAAAAATCTTTCGTCATTTGGTCAAATTATATTTCAATAAAAATAAAATTAAATATTATTATTCCAAAAGTATTAATTCTAAGTGAAAAATTTTTTTTTATATTTGTGGGTTGGTGTTACGTCAGAATCAGCATGCAAAAGATACTCCAATTTTCTAGTAATAGTGAAAAATTTTACACTCCATATCTTTTTCTCAACGGATTCCAGATAGTATATGCTCTACTAGTGCTAAAAAATGAACAACGCAGTGATTGATCGTAAAATTATCAAAAATCTGTCCTTATTATTTAACAGCACACTTTCTCTTTTACCTCAAGTAAAGAACATCTATATAATAATGGTAAATAATAGATCGTTACAATAGATATGATGATTTTATGATAACTACTTCTGCCCTCTAAGAATATATTCTTGCATAAACTTGAAATTCGTTCTAAATTTCTTTCCCTCCAATATAAATTATTTTTAAATTGCGTAATGATCTTCAAGCCAATAATATTATGATTTCTAATTCGTAACCACGTGATTCAAGCGATGACGTAACGTGATTTTTAACAAATTTTTTTTTTATTGGCGTTGTTATTAACTTTTTTAATACACAGTTATTAATTATTGTCAAGCTCCACCAATAACAACAACAATATGACCACAAATATAGAAACTGCAATCATTAACAATACTATTACTACAATTACTAATGTAAATTATCCAAATGATATTTTTCAATTCACTGAAGAAGTTTCTCAATACTCAAATGATGTTGAAATGCAAGACGCAACAAATCTTCAAAGTACCCCATCACCTCCAATTCCTAATAATAAATTTAATAAAAAGCCAATGAAGTAAGTTGGTTGATTGGTTTGTTTAACTTTTACCAAATAAATTTAGTAATTTTTTGCCTTTTGCAACCATGTAAATAATCAAACAAACAAACAATAATAATAACAACAAAGAATTGTTTCCCCAACCGATAATTTATTCTCACCATGTACAAAAAAATTACAAGAACTCAAATCAAAACATTATAAAAGGTTTGTTATTCATTTGTTAATGTGCCAATATATTAGCCTGCCATATTTTTAGTACTACTATACTAATAAATTATTATCGTTTTTGTTAACCAAAATCAAAATCAAAATCAAAATAGTGTAAAGCCTTTATTTCTCAATAATATTTTTGCTAAGTCATTACAAGAAGAGCAAGAAAAGCAAATGAAAAGACAAGAAAATTAAATCAAATATATTAATAAATATCATCATCATCATCATTATTATTGTGATTTAGTATCCTCAGATGATGATAATCTATGTAAATTTTCATTGTATTTCTCTAATCCAATAAAATCTTTAGCTTTTACAGCATATTCAGTTGCTTGACTAAATAATGATATGGCATGTTGTTTATTACCATCTCTCTCATGAATCAAACCTAAATTATTAAGTATCACACCACTACATTCATCACAATCTCTTTCATCAACTTGACTCTTTGAAATTGTTAATCCTTTTTGCATCCATCCCATTGCATCATCTTTCTGATCCATGCCATAAAAAACTTCACCCAAATGTCCCATAACTATTGCTTCCCAACAATGCCAATTTATTGTTATATCTGCTTCAGAAGAAGTTGATGTCAATGATGGTGTTGTTGTTGATGTCAATGCACCTTGTATTAATTTTAACATTCCAAGATAGATTGGTAATGCATATTCAAAATTTTTCTTTTGTGCATATAAACCTGCAAGAGCATTCACACATAAAATAAATTGTTTATCAACATTTTTTGGATTATTGATAAGTAATTCAGTTACCATTGAAACCACTGGTTTCTTATTTCTATCCAAGCTCCTTTTCTGATTCACTAATAATACTTGTTCCTCCTGATCTTTTCCCTTTAAAATTTCAATAATCCAGCCTAAATATTTCTCTGCTTGATTATAAGCCTTCATTTTAATATATAAATCTGCTAATTTCCTGTTCACTTCAATGACTTTCACTAATTTTTCTTTTTCTTCATCTTCATTACTGCTACTACTGCTTAATGAATCAATTAAAATATCTCTTATTTTATTATATTTTAAAGTTGCCTCATACAAATTTCCTTGCCAAATTGAATTCTTTGCCAAACGCTCCATAGTATCCAACACTATGGGATCAGAAACCATCAATTTATCATCCTCAATCATGATTTTCAATGCTTGTTCAAGATATTCTTCTGCCACCACTGAATCTAAAAAAACTTCTTCACGTAAATATGCACCTCTAAGACAATCACATGCTCTCAAAGATAATTTTGATGGAGTGTGATAAAGAAAATATTCAATGTAGATGTGACTACCTCGCCAAACAATCATTATTATTGAAAGAATCAATACTATGGAAATTGTTAGATATTTTAGATATAGCAAAAGTCGATGTATTGATTTGTCTAATGCAAATTTAAATCCTATTTTTGTTATTTTTCTTTTTTGTTGATGATTTTTTCCAGATGTTGTTATTAAATTTCTTTTGATGATTTGTGATAATGATAAATAATTATAATTGCAAAATTTATTATTAATATACTTATTAAAAGGCATGATAATATGTATTTGGAGTTTTGATTGAGATTTTATTTGGAATGAAGTTGTTGGTGACTTATTTTGAATCATTGGGGTTTTTATTAAATGATTGTGATTATGACTATTTAATGGTTGATTAAATAAAAATTTTCTTTGTAGGGAGTTTTTTAATATATTTGAAAATGATTTTGTTAAAAGTTTTCTTTTTTCCATTATTACAGATAAAAAAAATTTTAGATATTTATTGTTACACGAACATAAGTGATGAATTGATTATTTCAGTTAGGGTTCTTTCCAAATTTAGGTATAGAAATTTGCGCCTCTTTGTCGATCAATTCATATTTTTTTCATATATTACAAACGAGTTAACGTGATACTTTGTGTTTTTTGAAAAAAAAAATTTTTTTTAAAAATTACTATTATAATTATTTAAATAAATACTACAATATTTTCTCTTCCATAATCTGTTAAAAATCTATAAAAATCTATTGTTTTCCTCAAAGTATACTTTGTTTAAAATTCAAGAAATTCTGTAACAGAAGTTCAAATGATTTGGTTTTTTACTCAATTTACTAACTTATTTATTTTATTTTTTAATTTTAGTGAATAAAATGCTCACTAGTGACTTACCTTGTTTACTTGTTCAAAAATATCAAATTGAAACCATGTGATGATACTAATAGTGACAATAGATGAGCATCAGGAAATAAAGCAAGCAAATGAGCATGTAAAAATATTTGATAATTATTCAATCTGTGTTATCAAATTGTTACTTCTAATTTTCTTGAAAAATTAAAAGCAGAGGACAATCCTTCAAGAGAAAGCCAACGGAAATGACTTAAATAACTATTGATGAAGATGCAGAAGAACACTGTAAACGTAATTCTTGGTTTATTTCAATATGGAACTCAAATACAATTTTTTTACATAATAATAATAAATGCAATAGTTAAGTTCTAATTTCCAACCTTTAAATGTTTATTTTTTTAAATTACATAATTTGTTTATAGAAAAGTATTAACTTTAAATTTGCTTTTTAAAGATTATTTTCATAATAATAATAAATATTTTACCTAATAATATTAATATATTAATATATATTGCTGGATGAAATAGAAGATCATATTAAACAAAATTTATTGATATTTATTTAATATTTCCAAACAAAAACAAATTCGCATAACAGACTCTTTTCAAGAATGGCTATAATAAAATGGAATTAATTTGGTTTTTTTGATATTTTTAAAGGTTAGCTACAATCTGTTACGCAATCATCTTTTTTTTATTATTAATTATTTATTTTTAGAAAATAGAAATTATTTGTATTTGGCATATTATTATTCAATTTAATGAATTTAATTATCAAATCATTTGGAATAAGTTAAATATTAACAAAATATATTTACATTGGGCAAGTTATAATGATGATAATAATAATAATTTTATTTTTTTTATTAACCAACTTGTATCCATGGCATTATGATTATTGCCACTACCACCATCATTACCACCACTACTACCACCATTACTATCACTACCACTTATAGATGCTGGTCGCAATTCTTGGTGATGGTTGCAACCATATTTGCAACATATAAAAATGGTTTGCAACACCTGG